TTCTTATGTTTTTATATTTCATGTTCAAGTTTAATGTCTCTTTTTGTAATCACTGCCCCCTAGTGGACAGGAGTGTGGAGCGATTCAAAGGCAGAAAAAATCTTTGACTGGACTTCTGTAATGAAGTGAAGTGTGAAGGAAGTTGAGCTTTCTTTGAGTCTCTCTGTAGTTTGTAACTGAATACTTGGACTCTTCTTCACTTTAGAGGGAACATGTTCTCCTCCACATTTCTTCCTCGTCTGATCTAATTAACCCCGTGTTTTAAGATGGGCTGGTGTTTCTGCTCTTGGTGTAAACCCAGACACAGTGATCTTTCTGTCATGTTGTTCATGTGTGTTACTCTTGATAATTCACTCAAATAATGTCTCTATATTCTACAAGTGATTTACTTTTTAAATAACTGACACCATGTCAACACAAAGTTTCACTGCTTCCAATCCGCCTCTTATACGACGGCCATGTTGCATTAAATAACATCAACCACTTCTGTTTATTAAATATCACAGTCTGGATTTTATTAAGGCTGTACATTAATCTTCTTTGAAATTAAACTTCATTTGACTCAAACATGAAGTTGGTGTTATTTTCTGATGTTTATGTTTTTGTCCTCTTGAGTCGTTTGTTTTCAGATGTTCATCAGGCTCCAGGTCCCATCGAGGAAAAGTTCATTCCTCATGATTTAATTCATGAAGCCGACCTGAAGTTTTTGATGACACAGTAAATATAGACTTTAGTTCAGTATATAATTCATATCATTATTTTAGTTTCATTGTGGACAAAAAAAAAGCAGATTGGAGCATATTCCAGACAGACACAGCATGTCCCGGTTACCATAGTAACAGTCCCTGTAACCATAGATACTTTATTGATACCGAGGGAAATTCTATAATTACTAAAGTTACAGGGACAGACTGTTACCATGGTAACATGAACAGTGGTTTACTAAGGGTACAGTGAGTTACTATATGGGTTACTATGTAACTCACTGTCCCTGTAGGCTAACCTTAATAACACACTTTCTGTCTATCTGTAACCATAGTAACTCACTGTACAATATCATCTAGTTTTTTAATAAAGAAGTTTTTTACATCTTGTTTCTGATAATAAAAACATGTTTTGAACAAAATAAATCCACAGAAAGAGGAACAAAAGGCTGCCGCACCTCCACCGTCGGTAGGATACTTTATAGTGTGACACACAGCGGAAGTAAACAGCGCGAGCACCAGTTCTGAACGCAGCGGAACGGACACATTTCGACGTTGCGCCAACTTCTAAATACAAACGGAAGCGAAACACATAACATTTAACAACAAGTGTATTTAACCTACTGTTTCTTTGAGTATCTCTCTGTTTCACGATGATATACCGTAAAGTTTATTTTTACCTGTGTTTAATAAACGTTTATAACGCAAAAGGAAAAACTATTGAAGAAGAAAGTTAAACAGAGGTTTGTTTACACTCTTTAACAGCCACACTAGACGTTACTTCTTCATGTTACTTGTTGATTTACTCACAATGTAATCTCTTAGTTTAATGAGGGGGGATATCGGTTCATGTCAGATCTTATAGTAGAGGAACAAACCCCCCAAAAAGAGAGACCCCTACCCGAGGTAGAACAAAGCACGACCATATTCTTTCACAACTTCAACATGTCTACTTTATGAAACGGATTGTTGGAGAAAAATATTTTACTGCAAAATAACTTTTTTTGGATGTTTTCTGCATCTTAGCAAAAAAACGAGACTAGGTCAAATGAGGTGTTCTCCAAAAGGGACAGCTCTAGTCTTATCACATGTATCTCTGGGAATCAGAACCAGAACTTCACCACATCTGGACAGGATGTTCACAGATAGTTATTAGTTACAATTATGCAAAGTTTTTATCAATACCATTTTACATTTTTGGATTTTTCACACATGAAACAAAAATTCAAAAGGTATGTATATCAAAGTCTGTCATTTTTTAAGTAAGGACACCAAACATTAAAACATGTCATTTGTATCTTCTTTAGACTGTTATCTCAACATAAAATTTATTAAAAGTTATTTGACTTTTCACTTGACCCTATGCTGTCACCAGCCCCTAACAGGAAACTAGTGCAGCCAGGATTTCAGGGCGACCTGGTACAATGGGGCCCTATGGATGTGTATGTGGGAGGAGGTGGCCACAAACAATAGATTAAGACTTAACAACAACACACAATATAATTGTATTCTGTAATATATATATAATTAAACATTTTATAGTTATTCCTAATACATTTTGTCTCATATTTTCTATCTTACATATGATTTATATGATGACACTCAGAGTCAACCTGCTGCTTTCAACAATATTGTCACCTATGACATTGTTTCTATTTCATTGTAAAAGATTAAAGCATTGTCTTGACATCAGTTGTGAAATATTAATGATCTAAAAAACAGTATTGATATACATAACCTTGAGTTCTTAGAAATTAAATATACTTCATATAGTCTATTTGTATATCGACCATACAGCCTGTTGTAGTTTTTTAATGTATTTCAGTCATATAAAGATGGTGTGTAGTCACCATATCTCCTGCTTTTAAGATGAACCCCAGTTACTTCAGAGGATACACTGGATGAAGGGATAGTTTTTATAATACCATAAGTATGATAAAGTGTTAAAAAAAACTACAATATCTATTTTTGTTGAATGATTTATCAGACAACCAATGGAGCTGGGATACAAAACAATTCTTATGATGGTGTAAATGTGTGTGAGGTGAATTAGGATAACAATCATGCAGACATGTTTATAAGAAACTTCTTTATACACTTATTTTACTTCATCATATATAATGACATTTGATTTTAAATGTTAATTACAAAGGATGATTTCCACTTAAGACAATATGGCTGTGAACCTGAGAGCTTAACACCGTACAACTAAAAACCTTTGTGTCACACTAAGCATCCCCTGGAGACAAAGTTTGACCTCTTATCTCTTCGCTGATCTTGTCCTGTGCTTATGTAAGTTGTGTTTACTGATGGAAAAATTTCCTTCTCCCAAGTTTGAACCGTCAAATATATCCCTAACTCTGAATGTTGGCTGTAGAAAATGACACCAACCCGCTGAAAGCAGTAACGAATAAGAATAACTTCACAGAAGAGAATATCTTCTATCTTAAGGTCTTGTTTGCTTTTGTAAACCATTTCACGATATCAGTATAAGTTTAAGTGAGCTCCATAACCAACCAAAACAATCCTCCCAGGAGCTTTAAGAAAACAACTGCTGCAGAAAATAACCATCAACAAAGTCAACCAACCAAACAAAGATAACACAACCAAATCAAGACACCACAACCAAATCAGGACAACATAACCAAATCAAGACAACATAACCAAATCAAGACAACATAACCAAATCAATACAACATAACCAAATCAAGACACCACAACCAAATCAATACAACATAACCAAATCAAGACACCACAACCAAATCAGGACAACATAACCAAATCAAGACAACATAACCAAATCAAGACACCACAACCAAATCAAGACACCATAACCAAATCAGGACAACATAACCAAATCAAGACACCATAACCAAATCAAGACACCATAACCAAATCAAGACACCATAACCAAATCAGGACAACATAACCAAATCAATACACCACAACCAAATCAAGACAACATAACCAAATCAAGACACCACAACCAAATCAAGACACCATAACCAAATCAAGACAACATAACCAAATCAAGACACCATAACCAAATCAAGACACCATAACCAAATCAGACAACATAACCAAATCAATACACCACAACCAAATCAAGACAACATAACCAAATCAAGACACCACAACCAAATCAAGACACCATAACCAAATCAGGACAACATAACCAAATCAAGACAACACAACCAAATCAAGACAACATAACCAAATCAATACACCACAACCAAATCAAGACAACATAACCAAATCAAGACAACATAACCAAATCAAGACACCACAACCAAATCAAGACAACATAACCAAATCAAGACACCACAACCAAATCAAGACACCATAACCAAATCAGGACAACATAACCAAATCAAGACAACATAACCAAATCAAGACAACATAACCAAATCAAGACACCACAACCAAATCAAGACACCACAACCAAATCAGACAACATAACCAAATCAAGACAACACAACCAAATCAAGACAACATAACCAAATCAAGACAACATAACCAAATCAAGACACCACAACCAAATCAAGACAACACAACCAAATCAAGACAACATAACCAAATCAAGACAACATAACCAAATCAAGACACCACAACCAAATCAAGACAACACAACCAAATCAAGACAACATAACCAAATCAAGACACCACAACCAAATCAAGACAACACAACCAAATCAAGACAACATAACCAAATCAAGACAACATAACCAAATCAAGACAACATAACCAAATCAAGACACCACAACCAAATCAAGACAACACAACCAAATCAAGAGAACATAACCAAATCAATACAACATAACCAAATCAAGACAACATAACCAAATCAATACACCACAACCAAATCAAGACAACATAACCAAATCAAGACAACATAACCAAATCAATACAACATAACCAAATCAAGACAACATAACCAAATCATGACAACATAACCAAATCAAGACAACATAACCAAATCAAGACAACACAACCAAATCAAGACACCACAACCAAATCAAGACAACACAACCAAATCAAGACAACACAACCAAATCAGGACAACATAACCAAATCAAGACAACATAACCAAATCAAGACAACATAACCAAATCAAGACAACATAACCAAATCATGACAACATAACCAAATCAAGACAACATAACCAAATCAAGACACACAACCAAATCAAGACAACACAACCAAATCAAGACAACACAACCAAATCAGGACAACATAACCAAATCAAGACAACATAACCAAATCAAGACAACACAACCAAATCAAGACAACACAACCAAATCAAGACAACACAACCAAATCAATTAGAAAAATATAACAGTTGTCTGTTTCTTGTCTCAACTTCTATGCAGTTATCTTTTATGTATATGTTGTTCTTTTTACCTTTTTTAGCAACAAAGGCCACCTACAGGCTCGAGAAGGTTCTAATGAACAAGCGTGTTCTCGGTGACGTAAAGAAGCTGAGCCCTCTCTACCAAACATCTGCCTTGGAAGGGTTTCACAGCCTGATTCTACGATTTGCACCAAAACATGTCGTCTTCTCATACTTGGGAATGCTCTGCAGGTAAATTGCATTGTAATGTTATTGTCAACATTCAGTAGTGTGGTAACAGGGCGCTAAAGTGCTGACAGTTGACTCTAAGTCTATATTAGTGAACACAAGGCCAGTGTCAATTAAACCATTGTTTTCTTGTTTTTATGCTCCATATATATTTTTTTGTGTATCAGAATCTAAAACTTGTAGACTCTCATACTTTTTTCAAATTACCTGAAACAAATCTTTGTCATTGCAGGCTATACCTGTCAGCACTGCACTTCAATGAACATTCAGTGCGCTCACAGGCAAGGACTGCAGCAGGAGAACTGCACTTCAAACTAAAATTTCCAAAGTGTAAGAGAGGGGAGCATGTCGTATCTGTGGTGAAGACCAACTATACTACTGGTTAGTTCCCAGTTGTGTGAAGCTCACATCAATAATGTCACCTGGTCTGCTTATTTCGACCTACGGAACATTAATCTCTCTCTCTCCATTTTGAAATCTCATCTCAAAACACATCTTTTTAAACTGCCATATTCAGTCTGATCATTCTCCATCCAGTCTCATATATCCACTTCATCCTGTACATTTGTCTTTTTAATGTTGATTTTATCCATGTATTGTTTATTTGTTGTTTTTATCTCTGCTTTGTAAGGTGACCTTGAGTGTTTTGAAAGGCGTCTTTAAATAAAATGTGTTCTTATACTCTCCTGTTTTTCAGAATATGTCACTGAGCTCACCAACCTCCTCTTTAATGAGGTCATTCGTGACCCTGAACCTTTCGTAGCTGCCCTGAAGGAAGTAGCTGTTCCAGGGTTCCTCTGCTCCCAGTATGAGCGACCTGACAAGGCAGATGCAGTTGCCAGCCAAATTTCCTGGTTCAGCTGTCCAGGTAAGGGTTGGCTCCTCCAACACATTGTGGCTAAATGCCTGTTTATCCACAAGTCTGCCTAAATCAGTATCACAACATTTATAATGAATATAATCAAGCACAGATCCAGCTCCACAGCCCTGATGACACAAACACCTGCTGAGAGTGAGAGGAGGGGAGAGGACACCAACTAAAGAACCCAGAACTATGAGGAACGGAGGAAGTCAAGTTAGTAACATACATGTGTCCAGACAGAGAGGGAATGGAGGAAGATATTAGTAGTTTATTATAGAAATGAAATAACTTTCTATAAAATACATGTCCAAACATAACAATACATAAATACTTTCCCTCTTCATCAGGGTACTCCTGGTGGATACGGACAACAACGCAGGAAGGTATCACTACCCGGTTGTGCTTTCCCAGGTATCCCCAGCACCAGGAAATGAAGGATGCCAGGTAGCGAGCGCGCCTATAATGACAAACACAAAAAAGCAATGTGATGTTATGTTCATCAAGATTTGTTTGAAGTTAAGTGGTCTTATAGTCTTGTTTTGTCATGTTTTCTGTCTTATACAGCACATCATGATCCCAAGAAGATGAAAGATGGATCAACCTGCAGCGTGTCTGAAATCTATTTGGCTGTATGGATTGGCCTGGACATTTGTTTTTTTTTTTCTTTCTCTGTTTTAACTTCCATGAATTATCCACAACCATACATTTGTAATTTTGACTAATCAGTTGTTGTGAAGCGTTATCACAAAATGTTCAATTTGTTAGATTTTTATACATGTTGTATATCCTAGTTCTCTATTGTTCTCTGAGGCTGGGACTAGTTCATGCATTTGTTACCTCCAGGTTGGATTATTGTAATTATTGTAATTCTCTCTCTGGATGGATAGGCCGGGTCTTTGTAACATAACAATAAGTAAGATCTTTTACCTGCTTTTTGTAACATAACAATGAGTAAGGTCTTTTACCTGCTTTTTGTAACATAACAATGAGTAAGGTCTTTTACCTGCTTTTTGTAACATAACAATGAGTAAGGTCTTTTACCTGCTTTTTGTAACATAACAATGAGTAAGGTCTTTTACCTGCTTTTTGTAACATAACAATGAGTAAGATCTTTTACCTGCTTTTTGTAACATAACAATGAGTAAGGTCTTTTACCTGCTTTTTGTAACATAACAATGAGTAAGATCTTTTACCTGCTTTTTGTAACATAACAATGAGTAAGGTCTTTTACCTGCTTTTTGTAACATAACAATGAGTAAGGTCTTTTACCTGCTTTTTGTAAAGTGTCTCGAGATAACACTTGTTATGAGTTGATGCTATACAAATAAAAATGGATTGATTGATTGATTCTTGGATTATTTAAATTTGTCTGGAGGCAACACGTGAGTGCAGGATTTCTATTTATAGCTCAAGAGACACTTTAAATTGTTATTGTTTGGCTGATCCTAACAATACCAAAACTGAGTAAAACTAACATTATCAAACAAACAGTTTTTCCTAAAACTCTCAGCTTTACTTTACTCTTCATTTCTCAAAGAGATGCATTCAGTTTGACTAACAGAACTTATTTTGACATTCCTAAATAAATATGCAGTTTTCAGACATACACAGCTCTGTCTGGCTTCGGCGCATTCTCTGGACACGCCCACAGCCTCCCAGAGGAGAGAGAGCAGCTACATGTTTCAGGATTTTGAAGCTTCATTTTATAAACTTACAAGTTTTTTTCATTGCTGAAATCTGGCCTGGTGGTTAATAATACATTCTTCTTTTGTATAAAAAACTAAAAAACATATTTATTTTTTTGGTTTACAGGGACTTTAAATACGTTGGTGATAGAAATGTGAGAATATTGTTCAAATAAACACATGTCGTTAACTAACTATTACCAGACATGTGTTAAAACAACTAAAGTATGATCTTAGATAAATAAGAAGTCCATATTTACCTGTAAGATGTAGATTTTAAACTGTTAAGGCGCTGACATAACCACCCGATACAAAACATCATACGCCTTCAGTTCACCGGAACGGACACATTTCGACGTTGCACCAACTTCTCATAAATACAAACGGAACAATTTAATCACAAGTGTATTTTAACCTACTTTATCTTGATTCAATGAATCCACGCTCGTTTGTTTTGATTTGGAGGCGGACGTGACGTGACGATTTACGTTTATTTTCGCACAGCATTGTGGGTAAAATACAATTCATTTCCTGAAAGCACGCATCCGATCCATACTGCATGAAACCAGGAAGTTAGTATCCATACTGAACGACCACGAAAGTTCAGTATACTGAAACTCCATACTGAAAAGTACGTACTGCCTACTGAACTGTGGCTATTCGGAAAGGGCCCGTATGTAACCTCAGGGTGCGTTGGAATTGTCCCTCCTATCTCCTTTCACTATCCACTTCACCTTAACCCCGGGGAAAACGTCATGAGGTTAAGGAAAGATGTTAGGAGAATTCATAAAGGACTTAGGGAAAGGCGATCTCGTTGCTCTGACAATCCGACCACATTTTCCACTAGGCCACGTCTTTGGTGCAATTGTGCCAATAGGTGCCTCCGCTGCACTGAACTCTTAACTCAGTTATGCGTGTTGCTTCTTACAATTGTCGAGGTCTGCGTGTTGGAAACAGCGCAGGGGATAGAGCCCGACGAATAGTAATAGACAACTTGTTACAAAACTGTGACATTCTGTGCCTACAGGAAACGTTCTTAAGCAAACAGGATTTGGGAAAGCTGAACACTTTTAATGACAGTTTCCTTGGGGCTGGTGAATCGACTACTGATCTGACTTTGGGACTGGTGAGGGGACGAATAGCAGGGGGAGTGGCCATCCTGTGGCATAAGACGCTGGACTCTGTGATCAAAGTAATCAGAACAGAAGTAGATTGGTGCATTGCTGTGCAGATAAATATAGGAAATAAAGAGTTTATTATTATTAATGTATATACACCTTTTGAGTGTCAAGACAGTGAAGATATATATTTAAATCGTCTTGCTTTTATTAACTCATTTATTCATGAGAATACTTGCACAAGTGTGTACATTGTTGGTGATATGAATGCTGACATGTCAGATAAAAGTTTGCTATTTGCTCGACATATGATACAATTCTGTGAAGATAACAATCTGATATTGTCCAGCCAATTGCTGTTACCTGCAAGTAGCTATTCCTACATAAGTGAAGCCTGGCACACTACTTCTTGGCTTGACCATTGCATCTCCACTGCAGATGCCAATTCTATTCTGCAGTCAATGAGTATCCTGTATGAGACATCTCTAGCTGATCATGTACCATTTGTTATGATTCTTGATGTTGATGGTCTCCCTGAGCTGACCACTAAGGTTAAAGGGACCTGCGGGGCGAACTTGCATTGGCCCAAACTCACAAATGAGGACTTATTGTCATATTATGGGAAAACTGATTTTCTCTTGAGTGATCTATATTTACCCAAAGATGCTGTCATGTGTTCAAGTGTAAACTGTAATGATATATCTCATGGGAAATCCCTCTGTTCCTTGAATGATGGAATTATAGGAGCTATGCATGAGGCCAGTAGATCATACCTCACTTGCTCTAAGAAGGCATTCAACATCAAACCAGGCTGGAATACACATGTGGCTATACATCATGCAGCAGCAAAGGAGGCTTTCAAGGCTTGGAATCAGGCAGGTCGACCCAGACAGGGGCCTGTCCTGGATCACAAAAAGCTCACAAATGCTAGATTGAAATCTGCTGTCCGTTTTGTGGGTAAAAATGAGCAGGTAATGAGAGCAGACTCATTGGCTGAAAAACTGCTCTGTAACAAAGTCATGGATTTTTGGAAAGATGTAAGAGCTTTAAATAAGGGAGCAGCTGTGCTACCGAGCACAATAGAGGGAGTCTCTGGACCAGATAACATTGCTGAGATATGGAGGTAACATTACTATTCTTTATTTAATTGTGTGAAAGGGGACCCATACCATTTGGGAAACATTGCTAGTAGTGATATTGAGGGTTTTACAGCCACTGAGGTCCATCAAGCAATATTGCAGCTTGCTAAAAATAAGGCAAGTGGCTCAGATCAAATCACTGCAGAGCACCTCAAGTTTGCTACCCCAAAGGTTGCTATTCTTCTTGCTATCTGTTTTACCGGTCTAATGACTCATGGCCTGCTACCAGACTCCATGTTGTCCGTCACTTTGGTGCCTGTGATCAAGGACAAAGCTGGCAAGGTTGGGAGCCTAGATAACTACAGGCCTATTGCTTTAGCCAGTGTGGTATCTAAGGTCCTTGAGAGTATTCTTTTAGGGCGGATATCTAAATATATTGGTACCACAGATAACCAGTTTGGTTTGAAATCTAAGCATGGTACTGATCTTTGTATTTATGCCTTGAAAGAAGCTGTTGAGGTATATAGGAGGAAAAACTCCTCAGTCCTGATAGGATTTGTTGATGCCTCTAAGGCCTTTGATCGTGTCAATCATCGAAAGTTGTTTATGAAACTAAGTGAAAAGGGGGTCCCTGATTACATATTAAGGCTTCTGGCGTACTGGTATGCCAACCACAGTATGCAAGTCAAATGGGGAGATACGATTTCCTCCCCCTTTGGAGTGAGCAATGGTGTGCGACAGGGCGGTTTGCTTTCTCCTGCACTCTTTAACTTGTACATGGATGATCTATCTAAACAACTGAATGGTTGCAAAACTGGTTGTGTGTTGGGTAACCGTATAATCAATCACCTCATGTATGCTGATGATTTGGCAAATTTTTTCCCCCAGCAGCTGCTTAATATATGTTCTGATTATGGTCGAACATATGATGTGCAATACAATGCTACAAAGAGTACTGTTTTGATATGCAGAACAAAAGGGGACAAGGACCTAAACTTTCCTAATTTATACCTGTCAGGACAGGTGCTGAGTGTGAGCACCAAAATAAAATATTTAGGTCACTTTATTACGGATCAAATGTCCGATGATGACGACATGTACAGACAATGTTGAATGTTATATGCCCAGGCCGATATGTTGGCAAGAAAATTCTCAATGTGTACAGTCAATGTTAAGAAAAAATCTATTCAGAGCATATTGTACTCCTCTGTATACTGCCCCCTTGTGGGCCATGTTTAAAAAGGCAAGCTTACAAAAACTTAAAGTTGCATACAATGACTCCCTGAGAATACTGTTTAAAAAACCTCCATGGACTAGTGCGAGTGAGTTATTTTGTAATGCAGGAGTAAACACTTTTCAGGCTCTTATGAGAAACTTAATGTACAAATGTATCTGCCGATTGAAGGATTCTCAGAATTCCATCATTATGCTGTTGACTAATCCCAGTCATAGTTCTGTGTGATACCAGTCATCCTTGTGGCGACACTGGTACACTTGTCTTTTATAATATTGGTGATGTTTTGTCTGTCTGTATGTGTATTTACCCTGTGTTTTTATTCTGCTTGTTTTTTTATGTCTTCGAATGGACTCCTGAGTCTGGTAATAAAGATGATGATCATGACGGGCCGGTGGAGGTTAATGACGTGGGTCTGCCGTGGTGAAACTACAATGTTCAGAAAATGGACTACTAAAAGCGCTTCTAAAAACTTTCCCCTGTGCCTTCTTACCGGTGAAATAATCCTAATTACCACAAGGTTGGGATTGAAATAAAAGAAATATAGAAACCAGGCTACAAGTAAGAAAAGTGAAACCATCAGCTTCCTGTCCACTCAGAAATCAACATCAACATAAATATGATTGGATGAAATCAATTGTTACATTTATGTAAGATATAACCTCCACACTCTGATTGTTGCTGGATGTGTTTCACTTTTATCTGTTAGTCGTTCTAAACTTGTTAACATTTGGTTTAATGTGTCTGTAGAATTTGAGTCTTTATGTGATAATAATA